AGTTTTTAACTTTTTGATATCTTTTACAGGAAACGAGATAAATTGGCTCAAAGTACAAACTTATCTTTTAGCGGTATCACTGTAGATATCATAAGTTCGAACTCAATTATCTCGGCTCCTATGCAAGATATCGAAAATGTGTCAACTGATAAAACATTTATCTTATCATGATAAACATTTTATTAGTTGACAACGTTTTCATATCTTTCACAGGAACCGAAATATCTGGCTCAAAGTTAGTAGGTGATCCTTAAAGGTACCTCGGGCTCCAAATAATTATTTATGTTTCAAAAATAGTTTCTTCCACTAAATTACTGTTAACCGGAATCCAAGAACTAAATATTTTTCATATTTTCAGTGTTTTCTGAACTTTTTCGAATTCAAAATTTTTAGAGATTTTGAGTTATACAGAAACACTGATCAGAAAGATTGAAAAACTCAGATTTTCGAAAATTTTGAATTTCCAAAACCAGAATTTCAGAAATTCAAATTCTGGATTTTTAGAGTCGTCTTCATTATTGAAATTTTAGAACCATATTATCTTGGAACTTCATTTGGTTCTCTGGATTTCAATGTTTCTAGAGCCTTCATCTGGAGAATCGCGGTTTCCGGAAATTTCAAAATAACCGCTTTTCAGAAATTTTATAATATTTCAAGGTTCCAAAAACTCCAGAAATCTAGGTCACCAACTGACCACCAAAAATAGAGAGACCAGACAGCAGAAAAAGTATATTGTTTACAACACAATTTTGGACATTCTTCAGCTCTCTTAGTGTTTCCTTTCTTGGTTTGTGATCCCCCATTTATCGATTTCCTGTCTTATTCTCTTTCATACCGAAAAACCTGTAATCAAATGAATGGCTTCCACACTGTCAAGTTTGAGATCAATTATCTCGGTTTCTATAAAAGATATGAAACATCTGCCGACTGATCAAATGTTTGTGATATTATGATAAACAATTTATCAGTTGACAACTTTTTCATATCTATAACAGAAATCAAGGAAAATTGACATAAAGTTTAAAGTTTGGGGCCCTACTATCACAGGTTTTACGGTAAGCTTTTCAGATTCTTTTCTCCCCGTTCCTCCCATAAAAAGTGTTCGTGACCTTCTATTCAATAGAGACCAACTGGAAAGAAAAAAGAGCAGTCCGATGAAAAGATGAAGACCAAAAAAAGTAAGGACCGGAAATGGTGGGACCACTTTTGAAAAATATATTTCACTTCCCTTCTTTTTCTTCCACTCAATTTTCTCCATAGGTACTTCCTTCCCCTTCTTTTGGAAAACTGTGGGTTGACGTTCAGATTTTTGAAATTGAGGATTTTTCCTCTTTTGTTGAATCCATAATATTTCTAAACATAAGTTTTCCCACCTTCATTATTTTGGGTCTTATGAAAGTTTTATCAGCTGCGATGAAAATAGAAAATCGGAAAAAAAACGAGGATGGAATTTTTCATAGAGACGAATTCAGATTATCAGGATCTTTTGGATCTTAGAATCTTAGAATCTCAGAATCTTAGAATCTTAGAATCTTAGAATCTTAGAATCTTAGAATCTTAGAATCTTAGAATCTTAGAATCTTAGAATCTTAGAATCTTAGAATCTTAGAATCTTAGAATCTTGGAATCTTAGAATTTTAGAATCTTAGATTCTTAGAATCTTAGAATCTTAGAATCTTAGAATCTTAGAATCTTAGAATTTCAGAATCTTACTTTCCTGAAGTTGTTTGTTAAATTTTTTTTACGATTTTCTTATTTTTTAATTTTCCAAGAATTATCATGGGAAGAAAAAAAAGGATCTTCTTTTTTTTTCCAAGAATTTTGCAAAAAACTTCCTTCAAATGTCCATCTGTCACCCATCCCTCAGGATCCCCATGAATTCTTCGTTCCATTTTTTTTTCCGAAAAAATTTCTTGCTGACATTTTAACGACAACATCTCATCCGTCCCATTCACACCCCTTTGAATTCCCAAAAAATTCTGAAAGTCAATTTCCATTTTTAGAAAAAAAAATTCTGCAAACTTTTCGAACAGAGGAAATTAAAATGGATTTTTTTGGTTGACAAAAAAGTGTGGGCGAAAAAATATAAGCGAAATCTGATGACTTTTTGGAGTTGAGAGAAATAGAGAAGTGCGTCAGTAGCCAGTGGTGACGCAGAAAAATACTACAAACAGAGATATAGATTCTTTGTGATTTTAGTGTACAAAAATAGGTACTGAAATCGAATTTTGAAAACCTGGTTTTTGCGAATTTCAGATTTTGAGATTTTAAAAATGTGAGTTCTAAAATTCCAAGATTCTTGAATTCTGGGATTCGGGGATTATAAGATTCTATGATGTTAAGGTCCTGAGATTCTGAGATTCTGAGATTCTGAGATTCTGAGATTCTGAGATTCTGAGATTCTGAGATTCTGAGATTCTGAGATTCTGAGATTCTGAGATTCTGAGATTCTGAGATTCTGAGATTCTGAGATTCTGAGATTCTGAGATTCTGAGATTCTGAGATTCTGAGATTCTGAGATTCTGAGATTCTGAGATTCTGAGATTCTGAGATTCTGAGATTCTGAGATTGTAATAGAAGGGTGTCAAACTTGATCTCAATTATCTTGGTTCCTGTAAAATATATCAAAAAGTGGCCAACTGATATAATGTTTGGGATAATATAATGAACATTTTATCAGTGGACACCTTTTTGATTTCTTTTAATGAAACGGAGAAAAATTGGCTCAAAGTTAGGGGACCCTTCTATTAGAGGTTTTAAAAATTCAAAAAAAAATCCTTCTATTAGAGGTTTTAAAAAAGTTAGAAAATTCAAAACTATGAAAGCGAAGATTAAGATTCTAAGATTCTGAGATTCTGAGATTCTGAGATTCTGAGATTCGGAGATTCTGAAATGTTGAAATTCTATTTAGACAATAACCTAGCTTTTTCAATTTTTCCTAATTATTGGGATTTTTTTAAAAAACTGGGACCATCGAACCACAACTTTTCTTTTTCATTTTCTAAAAACTCTTGGGTGCATTCCAGGTGCTGTGAGAACTTGATGAAGTATATGTGTGCTTTTTGTGCTCAAAATTTTTTTCTCTCCTAAATTTTATATCTAAAGTTTAGATTCTATAAACACCTGCAATTTTCAGTTTATAGAAAAAATTGGAAAATATAAAAACTTTTTGAATGAAACGTTTCCTGATTAGGGGTTTATAGAAAAATGGCAGATTCCGTGGATTTTTTGAAATTTGAAGAACTTGATTTTTTGAATTTTCTGTGTCAATTTTAGATAAAAAATAAAACTGACCTTTATAATCTAGGATGAAATTATGTAATAAATTTCCCAAGTTCTCTTTTTCCCTTCTTTCTCAATTCCTCCTCCCTTTTCCCGTAGCTCCCCGTTTTTCCCGAAAATCTCGTTAGTCACGCTTGACCAATGTCTTCAGAATAGGTATTCTGAAAACTTTTTACACTTCTGAAGCCTTCTGAGAGGAATCAGAAGACGTCAGAGATTCTTTGAGCACAATAGGAACATTTTAGATTTGATTTTGGGGAGTTTAGAATGTTGAGAAAGAGATTTGGAAATCAAAAATCAGAATTTCAGGATTCTAAGAATCTCCAGGATCAGAAAATCTTGAAAATTCAGAATCCAAGATAATGAAAACCTGAATCTATAGAACCAAAATTCTTGGCTTTTTTGCAGTTTTTGTAGTTTGTAGTCTAAAATAAACATTTCCTATTTTTTTTGCTTCGTTTCGAATTTGACACCTTGACGACTCTCCCTACTCCCCCATTTTTGCTTTTTTTGTTTTTTTTTTCAGTACTTTGAGCTCTTTTCTTTTTTTTATGCACACAAAAAATTACCTAGGGACCCCGCGATAATCGTTTTGTTTTTATTTTTCGTATTTTTTTTGCAGTTTCTATTCTTCCTGTGGGTTTCTTCTTCTTCTCGTTTTATTTTGAATACATGGAACATTGACAACAAGGAAGAAAACTTTTTTTTAGTATCGTGATTTTGAAAGTAAATGGATTTTGAAGGAGTTTCGAAATACTGAAATATTGATTCCAGGATTTTGAGGATTTTTTCCTGAGATTCCGATATTCTGAGATTTTGAGATTTTGAAATTCTGAGATTTTGAGATTCTGAGATTCAGAAATTTCAGTTTTCGAGATTTTATTATTCAGAACTTCCAAAATTCAGTGGTTCAGAAGGTTTGAGATTTCAAGATTCTGAAATGTGAAGATCCCGAGATTCCCAGAATCTGAAATTCAGAGAGTTAGAAATTCCAAGAGAAACATTTTTTTGTAGAATTTCCAGATTTTAGAAAATTTCAGATTTTTGGATTTTTTAAATTTTTTTCAAAAATTCAGAATTTTTCAAATGCTTGACTTTTCTCATTTTTCAGATTTTCGAAACTCCTATAATTATTTAGGTTTTTAGAATTTTCTTCAATCGATAAAGATTCCAAGTTCCTAAAATTTCAAGATTAGAATATTTTGAAATTTTGAAATTCAAAGCTTTGGAGATTCTGAAAATTCCGACATTCCAAAATTTCCAGATTCCAAGATTCCAAGATCCTAAAATTTCAAAATTCCGAACTTGCGAAATTATGAGATTCTGAAATTCTGAGACTCCAAGATTCCAAGCTTCCAAGCTTCCAAAACTCACGATTCTCAAACTTTGAGATTCTTCCTCCCATCGTCTTCCAGATTTCCGCCTCTTTCAAAATCCCAAACCATTTTTACGTCAATCTTCAATTTGGTTTCCTTTCTAATCTCCTGAATTCTCCCCTCCCTTTCCACCTGTTCCTTCTGAAAATAACCCCGTCTTCTTCTCGAATTATGACTCTACTCTATTTTTTCCCTATTTTTCTCTCTTCTATTACTTTTTTGTCATTTAAAAAAATCCGTTTTTTTCAGCTCCAACCCAGCTCAATTTTTGATATTTTTTGTTCGAAAAAAGGAACGATGATCGAGTGAATAAAGAAAAAAAATATATCTGAAAATATAAAAATGGAAGGGATGGGGTCGATATTCAATGCATCCGCAATGCAAATCGTCCGTAAGTTTGAGTATAAAATAATTTAAAAAATTAAAAAAAAAATTATTGAAACAAAAAAAACTGAAATTCTAGATGAGACTTGTGTGTTTTGGAACAGTAAGTTTATAGAATTAGAAAGCTAGAAATCTAGGTATCTGGAAATCTAGAAATCTAGATATCTAGAAAATTTTTTAAAAAATCCAAAATTTCATATTGTAGTCCTAAAACTTTCCCAGCGCTTTCCCTAGAAGGTCCACAAAAAATTCTCGTTCCTCCATTCAATCATAATCTAATTTTCTTTTTTTCCATTACATTTTTTCTCTTTTTTTGTCTGAAAAATTTTCCAGCCAAATCTAGACCAATTTTGAGCAAAAAGAAAAAAAAAGTAGAGAGCAAGAAAAGAAAATGACAGACTGATTGATGTGTTTGACATGTGATTACAAATTGGGTTGGAAAGAAAAAATGGGGAATAAAAAAGAAGAAAAAGGAAGAAAAAAGAACATAGTATTATTATGGAGAATGTAGAAAATCTATACAAGAATCATATTTATTTTGAACCTTTTATGCAGGTCTATAATGGCCTAAAATCTGAATTTTCTACTGATTATCATCATTTAGTTGGGGTTCATGGTAAGTTAGGAGAAAAAAATGAATCACAGATTTCAAAAAAAAAAATCGGGTTTTTGAGTTGTTAGATTCTTCATTTGTAATATTAAAACGTTTTTAAACTGAAAATTAAAATCTTCGTGATTTTCAGAATGTTTTAAAAATTTTTTCTTTCGAAAATAAATTCTTTTTTTGAATAGAAAAATCCTGAATCAAAGATTTTGAAATTCTAAAAATTTGAATTTTTGAAGTTTTTAGACACTTAAAAATTGTGTGATCTGAGATTCTTAGCTTAAAAATACTGAAAACGGCTAAATTTGAGTACAGAATAGTCGGAGATTCGGAAATTCTGAAATTCTGAAATTTTTGAGATTTTGAGATTCTGAAATTCTGAGATTCTGAATAATAATATATTCTGAATAATTATAATTGTTAAATCCTGAATTTCCAAGATTCTGAATATTTGAGATTCGAAAGATCTGAGTTTTCGAAATTCTGAAATTCTGAAATTCTGAAAATCGGAAATTCTGAAATTTTGAAGTTTTGAGGTTCTGAGATCCAGATGTCCTCACATTCTAAAATTCTAAAATTCCGGGACTCTGAAAATCCGAATATTCGAGATTCGAAAATTCTGAAATTCTGAGATTCTGAAAATTCGTTAAAATAAGAAATGTAATTCCTTAAGTTTCCATATATCCAGATTTTCAGTTTTTAGGATTTATGTTCAAAGTCTCTACAAAATTTAGAATTTCCTGTTTTTGAAATTCGTTATTCTTTTTTTCCAGAAATCCATCACTACGCGGAAAACCTTCACTCATCGGAAGTGGACAAACTCTATCAGGATGATGCTGTTTGGATTATTTCAAGCAGTTTTATCATTTTCACAATGCACTCTGGTAAGTTTTTATCTAGTTTTTGTCTGAAATTTTTAATTTTCCGTCTGAAAACACGGAGAAAATTACACTGTCAAGTTTGAGCTAGTTTATCTTGGTTGCTATAAGAGATATTGAGAATTTGTCAACTGATAAAATGTTTCTGATATCTTGATAAATATTTTATCAGTTGACAACTTTTTTATATCTTTAACAGAAACCAAGAAAATTTATCACAAAATAAAAGCTACGGTATCTAATCTCGCTTCAAATTTTACAGGGTTCGGTCTTCTGGAATCTGGAAGTGTGTCAGCAAAAGACGAGGTGAATATAATGGTCAAAAACGTGGTAGATGTCGTATTCGGTGGGCTTTCCTACTGGTCGTGTGGCTTCGGATTCTCCTACGGAGACTATGAACCATGGAGAAATCCTTATATTGGCTTTGGAAAATTTTTCTACGATCCAACCAGAGATTACGATAGTCGCGAAAGTATCAATCAGGAAGGATGGTCCTATGCCAGTTTTTTGTTTCAATTATCTTTAGCCACAACTGCTTCAACTATCGTTTCAGGTAAGGGAATCAAAATGCGCTCTATTGCACCGGTCAATACAAAACGTGTTTTCAGTCGATTTTCAGCCATTTCGACCATTTTTGGCCGGGGGGGGGGGGGGGGTATAAACCAGACCTAGATTGAGCATTTGCATGTACAGAATTGTTTGAAATTTCGTAGTTTTTCAGCTATTTGCCGATTTTCGAAAGACATCAGTTTTTTCTTGTTTTAGACTATTTTTAACGCTCTGACAGTCTGCCAAAATCCTCGAAACTGTTTGGAATTTCAATACCTTCTAGAGCCATCTAGAGACTTCTAGAACCTTCCAAAACCTTTTAGAGCTCTTTGAAACTTTTAAGAACGTTCCAATATCTTTTAGTACCTCCTGGAGCCTTTTGAAATCTTCTAGAATCCGTGAGCCTTCTAAAATTTGCTAGAATTTCCTAGAACTCTTGGAAAGCCTTTAGAATCCTCTGGAAACCTGTAGAATCTTCTAGAAAATGATTTTGGAGGGTGTAAAAAAGTCCATTGATTCACAACTTTGAATTTCCAGAATTTTTGGAAATTTCCTTATTTTCAATTTCTGAAAAAAACACCTCTTTTTGGCCCGTTTTTGTGCTGGAAACGGGGTATCTTTCAGAAATCGGAAAATAGCTGAAAAACTAGGAAATATCCGAAAATTCTGTGAATGCAAAGTTTTCAGTTTAGGTCTGTTTCACATTATCCAAAATTTTCAAAGTGATCGGAAACTTGACAGCCGAGCCCCAGACTCCTGAAAAGAGTCAAAATCTAATTGATCGGTATACTGTACTTTATAACTTATCGCGGTCTCCAAAACCAATTAAAATCTGATATACATTTTGTAGGTGCAGTCGCCGAACGAGCCAAACTAAAATCCTATATTCTACTGGGTTGTATTGTAATTCTAATTCAAGCCCTACCAGCCCACTGGGTTTGGGATAAAGAGGGTGTATTCTATAAAAAAGGAGTCGTCGATTTTGCCGGTTGCTCAGCAGTTCATATGGTTGGTGGTATTATCGGTTTGATTGCTACAGTATATCTAAAACCGAGACGGAATCGATTCAATGAAGACAGTGTTCATCAGATGAGTAGTCCGACGAATGCACTACTCGGAACATTTTTATTGTGGTGGGGATGGTTTGGTATAAATGCTGGATCGGTTTGGGGAATCACTGGTGGAAGATGGAGATTGGGAGCGAGAGCTGCAGTGGCAACAATAATGGCATCGATTGGTGGTGGAGCCACTGCGATTACAATCAGTTTTGTGAAAACTAAAAAGTTGCAAGTCAATTTTCTTATCAATGGAATATTGTCCTCGATTGTTTCCATAACAGGTGAGTTCTGGGATTTTGAGATAGATTCTGAGATTCTGAGATTCTGAGATTCTGAGATCCTGAGATTCTGAGAATTGGAGGTTCTGAGATTCTGAGATTCTGAGATTCTGAGATTCTGAGATTCTGAGATTCTGAGATTCTGAGATCCTGAGATTCTGAGAATTGGAGGTTCTGAGATTCTGAGATTCTGAGATTCTGAGATTCTCAGATTCTCAGATTCTGAGATTCTGAGATTCTGAGATTCTGAGATTCTGAGATTCTGAGATCCTGAGATTCTGAGAATTGGAGGTTCTGAGATTCTGAGATTCTGAGATTCTGAGATTCTCAGATTCTGAGATTCTGAGATTCTGAGATTCTGAGATTCTGAGATTCTGAGATCCTGAGATTCTGAGAATCGGAGGTTCTGAGATTCTGAGATTCTGAGATTCTGAGATTCTCAGATTCTCAGATTCTGAGATTCTGAGATTCTGAGATTCTGAGATTCTGAGATTCTGAGATCCTGAGATTCTGAGAATTGGAGGTTCTGAGATTCTGAGATTCTGAGATTCTGAGATTCTCAGATTCTGAGATTCTGAGATTCTGAGATTCTGAGATTCTGAGATTCTGAGATCCTGAGATTCTGAGAATTGGAGGTTCTGAGATTCTGAGATTCTGGGATTCTGAGATTCTGAGATTCTGAGATTCTGAGATTCTGAGATTCTGAGATTCTGAGATCCTGAGATTCTGAGAATTGGAGGTTCTGAGATTCTGAGATTCTGAGATTCTGAGATTCTGAGATTCTGAGATTCTGAGATTCTGAGATTCTGAGATTCTGAGATTCTGAGATTCTGAGATTCTGAGATCCTGAGATTCTGAGAATTGGAGGTTCTGAGATTCTGAGATTCTGAGATTCTGAGATTCTGAGATTCTGAGATTCTGAGATTCTGAGATTCTGAAATTCTGAAGTTCTGAGACTTTTAGATTCTGAGATTTCGAGATACTGAGATTCAGTGATTCCGAGATTCTTAGATTTCGAAATTCTGAGATTCGTAAGTTCTAAATTCTATATTTCTGAGATTCTGGAATTCTAAGATTTTGAGATTCGGAGGTTCTGAGATCCTTAGAGTTCACGATTCCGAAATTGGTTTAATATTTCAAGTTTTTCGAAACTTTTGAATATCTCGATTTTTGAGATTCTAAGATCCTTAGAATCTGATATTCTGAAATTTGGAAATTAGGAGATTTTGAGTTTCCGAGAAACGGATATTCTAAATTTACAAGATTAAAAGATTCCGAGTTTCAATTTCAAGTTTCTCGAAACTTTAGGATATCGTGCTTTTTGAACTACAGTATCTTTGAAACTCAAAATCTCAAATTCCACAAATCTCAGAATTCTAAAATAATTCACTTTTAACAAATCTGATTTTCTAAAGTTCAAAAACATTAGAATTTCATTAACTTAGATGTTAAGAATATTAGAATTTTAGAATAGCAGAATGTTTGAATTTCAGGAATTTCAGAATCATTTACGACTTTTGAATAATGAGTTTTTCAAACTCTTCACTAAAAATTTTTTCGTTTTTCTTGGATTTTGAAATCTTGGAACTCTAAACTTCTGTTTTCAAAACGAAACTTCAGTTTCATGAAATCACAAAATCCCAATTTCCAGCCATTTGCGCAGTATCCCGTCCATGGCATGCACTTGTCATTGGCTCCATATCATCCGTCTTCTCTATAGCAATTCTTCCGGTCCTGGATCGTCTTCACATCGATGATCCAGTTGGAATTGTCCCCATTCATTTGACCTCTTCAATATGGGGAATGATAGCAGTTGGCATATTTTGTGAGCAGGATAAATATTTGGTAAGAACACCTTCTTATAAAATGGGCCTACGCTTAATTGCTCAAAATTCCAAGAAAAAATTTCCTAATTCCAGACAAGTGCCACAAACAACATGTCGGGACTACTGTACTCTTGGAGTTTCGATCTACTTCTTGTCCAGCTCTTATGTACATTTACCATCCTACTCTACTCGGCTGCCACAGGGTTTCTGGCTCTTTTTGTGAGAACTCTGCTCTATTTTCCTTTCTTACATAATCCAATTTTCAGTTGATCAGTAAGAGTCCACTTGGCCTTCGTGTCACCGATTACGAAGAACAAATCGGAGCAGATGTCATTGAACACGGACTGGCGGGTACGAATGTGGCAAGATATGTGCTGGAAAAACCGTTATCTACAAGGTAGGACTTTTTGAGAAAACTCGAAAAAATGGGATTGGATTCCAGAACATTTCAAACTGTCACAAAAGCAATAACCAAGTGGAAAATGCTGGCGAAGAAGAAAAGTCGGCAAAAGCGAATGGAAGCGGCAAAATTGAAACGAGAAGCGGAGCAAGAAACGTTTGCTCAAGCCAATGGGGGTGGGTATTTTTGAAAATTACCTCAAAACTTGAAATATGAGGGCCCCAAAAATGTGAACGAATTTATCTCGGTTCTTATGGAAGATTAAAACAATTTGTCAACTGATAAATTGTTTATCATAGGTTAACAAACATTTTGTCAGTTGACAGATTTTTGATATCTTTTTCCAAACCCGATATAATTGATCTCAAAATTATCATCCGNTCGCTTTGGGGGGGGGGGACGCTACATCATCTTGTTGCACTGTAATTCTGGTATTCCTGAAAAATGACTGCAGAATATTCTAAAAATTCCAAAAAGTAAACCCCTTAAAGTGGAAAAAATCTGTTTACCAAAACTTAAAAAAAATTCAAAGTTTTTTCTTCTTTCGTGCATAACATTCCATTCGCATGAACAATTTTAGAAAATTAAATCCATAACATGTGATTTAAAAGTTTTCAAAATTTTGCTTTATCATTAGCTTTTGGTTTCTGATTTGTAATAGTCCAGGTTCTTCAAAAAGTTTTTATAGAAGGTCCTCCACAAATTAGAGCTCAATTATCTCAATTCCTATGCAAGATGTCACAAAATTGTCAACTAACAAAACAGTTCTGACATTATGATTAACATTTTATCAGTTGTCAACATTTTGATATTTTTCAAAGGAAGCGAGGTATATAGACTCAAAGTTAGGAGAACTTCTATTACCCGCCCAAAAAACAGCTTTTTCCGTCTCATCCATATATTTTCCAGCAGCTCTTGCCAACGGCAACGGCGCGACCCCAAACGGCAACGGAAACGTTCTGCATCATCGAAACAACGCGACGAACAACACGAACACAACGAATAGCAACGGTGCGGGTCCACCCAAGAGGAACAGTGTCCACGCATTCAACAATCAAGTGGCACCGTTGGCTGTTAGTAGTACAGGTATGTTATCTTTGAATTCTGAAGCTTTTCTGAAAAATTGAGCGGCTGGCAAGTGACGTTCATAAAATTATAGATAGTCTGCTTACAATTCGACAATTTTCATCTTCAAAAAATCTAATTTTTCAGTGACAACTGCTCGAAACGCTCCAAGCACTGGTCGACGTGCAGAGTCTACTGCTATTGAAATGGAAGGAGGTCCTTTGCCAACAGCACCAGTTCTACAGGAAGCAGCTCCAGTTGAAAACGTTCCCACAAGCAGTGCAGCTGTTCAGAGACAACCATCATGGGAGAGTAAACCGAGTTCAGCAGCTTCGAGAAAGTAAGCAACTTCGTGAATGAGATTTCATATATTTAGAGCTAGGATTTTGGATTTTTCGACATACGATTGCTTATTCTGAAATTTGCATCTCGGGCGGGTCGTCCGAAAAAAAAAACTGCCGCTCGCGCTATTCGCCCTGTCCGCAATATAGAGCGGCGACGCGGGCGAGCGACGGGCGAGCGACGGGCGAGCGACGGGCGAGCGACGGGCGAGCGACGGGCGAGCGACGGGCGAGCGACGGGCGAGCGACGGGCAAGCGACGGGCGAGCGACGGGGGAGCGAAGAGCGAGCGACGGGAGAGCTGAAATAGTAATTGAATCAGAAAGTTTTAGAACTGTAAAAACCTTAAAAGTATATGCATGTATTGTTCCAGGTCGATCTCCATAACTTCTGCTACTTCCGTCTCAACAGGAACCGCCACAGCTCTGAGCGTCGGTCAATCCGAGTCTCGACCATCTACAGTATCCGCCACATCGCTTGCCTCCCGCAAATCCAAAAACTCGACTCTTGGCAAATTTGTGAAGGCTCCAGCTCCACGAGCCTTATCTCCGCCGATGGATAACCCACTAAATCCACCAACCACCGATGTTTAAATCGTTCAGATTCGCATTTAATTATGCTGAAAATCGGGTTCCGCGCTTTTCCATAGATCTCTATTTGTTTCTATATTTCTTTTCAAATCTTCAGAACTGCTTCAAAATCGGGTGTCTGCTAATTTGAATAGAATCTATTCAAGCAGAAGCTTTTCGAGAAACAAATTCTAATTTTTATTTGTACATCTTTTTTTCTTTTCTTAAAAAAAGAAATAAATTTATTTTACAAGAATTGAATGTAAAACTGAAGATGGGAAAGACAACTGGGATGAAATGGAACATGGATAGATATTTGAATAAATTAGAATAAATAGAAGTAAATATAAATTGAATTAAATAAGTTCAAAATGTTCATAACGAGGTAGGAGCAGGTGTTGAAGATGTGGATGTGGAAGCAGACGGTGTCAGTGGAGCCAAGGAAATGTTGATTCGGATCGGTTGAGCAGAGGATGATTGATCGGAAGATGGTGTGAAGAGTTGGGCAGAATTCTTTTGAACCTGTGGACTGGTGCAAGCAGAATCACACTGTGGAGAGCATTTGTCGAGACAGGAAGATGGTGGAGCGGATTTTTGGGTGACACAGGCTAGCTGGCACACTGATTGGCATTCGGAGGAGCATCTGTAAATCGAATTTGATGTTCTGAGTTTGCCACCGTTTTGGCAAATGAGTTAGTACAGTTTTAAAACAAAATAGGTTATCGTATCGGCTCTAAAAGAAGCCACTCTATATATGTATTTTGAGCTCAATTATCTCGATCCCTTTGGAAGATATAAAAAAGTCCTAAACTAATAACATTTTTATCATAATATTACCTATATTTTATTAGTTGACAAATTTTCGATATCTCTTATAGGAACCACGATAATTGAGCTCAAAGTGAACATAGAGGGTAGGCTGCAATAGTGAGGAGCAAAAACGACGACAACGCGCCGAAGGCGCTCCAGCTAGACTCGTAGGTGTAAAAATGGCTAGTTTGGAGGAATTTGAAAACTTCTAGAAGGGAAAATTAAAAAAAAAATAGTTTGTGTTTCAAAATTTTATATCAGAGTCATCAGAGTTTCAGATATTTTAGAATTTCATAATTTTCAGATTTTCGGAATCTTAGAATGATAGGACGTCAGAATCTTAGAATCTCTAATTTCTGAATATTAAAGTGTCAGAATCTCAGAATTTCAGGATTTCAGGATTTCAGCGTTTCAGAATTTTAAGGATTTTCAGAATTTTCAGAACTACCCAGCCATTTAAATTCGAATGGACCTTATAAAAATGGTAGCCTACCTTTGCTGTGGATCCAACAACACTGGATACGATTGTGGAGACGGTGTGCTTGGCTGAGAAGCGACTATCGGAGCACACACATCTCGACACGTATTCTGACAGCTTGTGGGACATCCTTCAGTTGGCTGTGGAGACAATTGAGCACACGACGTGGCACAACCGGTTTGGCATTGAGACATGCAGTTCCCAGGTTGCTGGAAATTGGAAATTAAAACTTGGATCAAAGAAGCAGGGCAGTTGAACCATAAAAAACAGCCTGTTCACAATTAGAGTACCAAAAAACCACTCTTCAAAAAATTCCTAATTTCAAAAAAAACCGCACCTGTTGAACAGGCGCCGCTGCTTGAGGAGCTGCCTGAGATGCTTGAGGTTGCTGTTGCTGCTGCACCTGTTGTGGAGGACTGTTTTGAACCGAAGGCTGTTGTTGTTGTTGTTGTGTTGGCTGCTGTTGCACCTGACCGAAACGATGTACATCTTATTTGCTATCTCTGACTTACCTGAATCTTAATTTTGATTGGCGAATTAGTTGTAGTAGTCTGTTGCACTGGTGCTTGGGCTGGTGCTTGGGCCGGGCACATTGAGTTGCAAGTGTTTTGACAAGTTGCATCACAAGTTGATTGGGAGACACGGTTAGAGCAGGAAGAGCGACAAGTGTCGGAGCAGGTCGACATACAGTTGGCACCGTCGTCGAGGACTTTGATGCTGACCTGGAAATTTTTGGGAATTGAGAGGTTTGGAATTTTGAGAGATTCTAGAGTAAGGCAGGGCTTTGAAATTCCATACCCTGTAACAGCTTTTTCCAGAAAGATCTCGATCTTCCCCGATCAGTTTTGAAAAAAAACCAGAAATCAAAAAGTTTCCATTTCCTACCTTCAGCGGCGCTTGTGTTGTGGTCTGAGCGGCGGCTCCACCCGTTGCTGAAGGGTTTGATTGACAAACTCGAGAGCACGATCGATTACAAGAGCTCGCACATTGCGACGACCCATATTGTTTTTGTTGACAAACGTTTGAGCACTAAAAATGGTTTTTTAGTATAGTTAGGTGTTTCTTGAAGGAAGAGCCTGCCGCGAACAGTTTTAGAAAATTGCTTGGACTTTTTTATCGATTCGGAAAGTTTCAGATAATCCTTCAATGAGTCACTCAGTTTTTAAGTTACAAAGTTAAGGCTTCAAAGCTGAAGCTTCAAAGATAAAAGCTTCAAAGCTAAAGCTTCAAAGCTAAAGCTTCAAAACTAAAGCTTCAAAGCTAAAGCTTCAAAGCTAAAGCTTCAAAGGTGATGGCTTCAAAACTAAAGCTTCATAATTAAAGCTTCAAGACTAAAAATCCAAAACTAAAACTTTGAAACTAAAGCTTCAAAGCTAAAGCTTCAAACGTAGAGACTTCAAACTGAATGATATTTTTAAAAGATTCACCTGAGAGTTACAATCTGATAAACAGGATTGCCCAGCTACTGCTCTAACAACCGAGGGTTGCTGAGCCTTGACTTGAATTTGAATTGGTGCCGATGTGGCAGATGGTCTGAAACAAAACCACGTTACACAACCTAACATCTTCACATCTCTCATATCCCCCTATTCGATCTCTTTCTTACGCGAATTGTTTGTTGCATGCGTTGACACACGAATTCTGACAATTCATGCGACACCCGAAGCCGCCACCGGAAGACGAACACGTCGGACGGCACGTCGAACGACAAGAGTTGGCACACGAAGAGGATTGACATCCACAGGATGAAGAGGATTGGGTGCTATAAAAAGTGGTGGTGGAAGACAGGAAGAAAAAGAAGGATGACTTACGCTAGAGGAGAACAAGAACATACTCGTTGGGATGTCGATGTGGATGGAGAGCATTTACATGACATTTGGGGTTTCGAGGAGGAACATCCGCATTGTCGTTTGCTACGGGTTGGGGATTTAGCGTCGATCTGGAGAATTGGAGAATTGATTATTTTTAGAAGAAGAAGAATGAGAAACATTCAGCTAGGTGGAGGTAACGTTACTGCTCTAATAGGAGCCCTCCCATACGTCCACTTTGAACTCAATTATCTCGGTTACACTGAGAGCTCTCAAAAGTGTGTCAACTGATAAAATGTTTATCATAACATTTCCAATATTTTGTCAGCTGCTAGATTTTTGATATCACTCATAGGAATCGAGATAATTGAGTTCAAAGTCGACGATTTGTGTTCGCTTCATTTGAGGAAATACGGTAAACTGGTTCCAGTTCTCTAACTTTTCCAATTCCTGAACTTTTAGGATTTTATACTTCCAATGATTAAAAATCCCGATTTGTGATAATTTTACTAAAATTCTGATAACCTAAATGTAGTAGAAATGCTAGGTTTTTGCATTTTCAGAGATCAAACTGACCGCAGAACTATGTTGTTTCAGCTCGAACTTTTCGACACTACACTTAAAAAAAAAATTTAAAAATTCAAAAATTAAAATTGACTAATTTTTGAAGAAAATTATGGAAAAAATAGTTCCAGAAGAATTTTCGAAATATCCGTTTCTAAAAATAATATAAAATTTTGTACACTGGGAAATTTTCAGACTATGGAAGTGACCGTTTTTCCTCTAATAGAAGCCTTCCCAAACTGTCTATTTAGAGCTCAATTATCTCGATTCCTTTAAAAGATATCAAAAATCTGTCAACTGTTAAAATATCGGTGAAATTATGATAATTATTTTATCAGTTGAAAGATTGTAGATATCTCTCACAAGAGTCGAGATAATTGAGCTCAAAGTTGACGGTTTGGACGGAATTCTATTAGAGAATACGGAAATTAATCTTTGCTCCATACGGTATATCTTCAATCCGTTTGAAAAAAACGAAGAAAACAGTTTTTGATAGTACCGTACCGTATGAATGAAAAATAATACAATAAATAATAGGCAGGTAGTTCTCATCATGATTATTCTCATGCTTTACGTGTCGTTTGGCAGATCGAAACCCAAACTGAACGTAAATGGGTCCTTCTATTATTCTTCTGGCTCCAGGGGCGTGGAGGGGGCAGCATGCCCATTGTTTGCTCAAAAAAGAGCCGGCCCCCGGGAGTGGGTCTGCTGCTCGAAACTACTCCACTTTCGGGTTCTCTCTCTGTGTCTCTGGGTGTTGATAAGCCGTCATCCACACAAAATATCTCTTTTTCTCACCTTTTCTTCCGCGCCCCGCGCGCGTTAATGAAAACAAAATGATAATTATCCGCGGATAGGTGCGAGAAAAAAAAACGGAAATCAAGGATCGAAAGACGTTTTTCTAGGGTGGACATTTTGACGGACGACGGCAGGGATGGGCGCAGAGGAGAAGATGATAATACTCTGAGCACATGAGCACACAAATTTAGAAACATCACTTGCTACCCGGACATTGTTGGCACCCCATCAGGAAGAAAAAACAACAATATGGACTGATGGAAGGGATTTATTTCAGTTGGCAACACTAAACTAGAAAGAATTGAATTCGAACTTTCAAAATATTGTTCATGCTTCCGGACAGTTGTGTCCTGATCTCGCTAAGACGTTTGGTCCTTCCGGGAAGTTCCAGACTTTTATGCAGTGATCGTAACCTCCTCTCTTGCGTATTATTGCTCTTCTGAAGCACTTGCCCTCCGCGGAGAAAAGCTTCTGGGATCCGTGAAGCTTCCATCAATCCGACGGTTCCTGGCGGTCCTTGTAGTTCAGCTAGGCAACAGAAGCCGTCAGCGACTGGAATGTCTTTTGCTGGGGCATGGGTTTCTGGCTGTCCGTCTAATCCTGACTGTCCGTCGTTTCTATCACGTCCGTACTCTCCTGGGGTTCCTGGTGATCCGGCAGGTCCTGATCCGCATAAGCAGGATTGGCCTCCGGCTTCGGCCTCTGGGCCCCTCGCCTTCTGTTGGCACTTCGTATCTGTTGGTTTTGTCACGTCGATCCTTTCCTAATTATCCTGTTCTTGCTGGAACGAATCCTCGTAGACGACCTTTAGCTTTGGTAGCTAGGTACCACTCAGCCTGGTTCTTAAAGTACTGAACTCAGGTTGAAATTCCACAAGCTTCTTCCCTCCATTAGTATTTCTAAAAATCCGATAAATCTTTCCAGGTGCAACTACTCGGATGTCTGCTTGTGACATCTGGGCAGAAGTCAAAGGTGTTCAGCTTCTGGACGGAAAATGGCCAGATTCTAGTCGGAACTTGCTCAAAAACGGCTGTCCAGCGGACCATAGTCAGATTTTGGTCTGCTTTAATATCGGTTTTCTCCGGAATCTGACCAGGCTCGAGCCAGAAGTTGCTGGTGACTTCTGAGTCTTTTCGGTGACCATTCTCAGCTTCATCTGCAAAATTCATAAGCTATCTTGCCTTTTTGAGACATCTTGGAGATCTCTGAGAGCTCTTAACCACTTTTTTTCAGACCAAAAGTACCAGCGGAAGCAATTTTAGAATCAATATCTTATGTCTCACTTTCAAAAACAATGTATATTTTTCATTGTTTAACAAATTACTCACTAGTGGGTGGCAGCTCAAATATTTTTTCGTTTACTTTGGGGGTTTCCCAATACCTCTCTCGGTGTTTGATCAAGTTCAGATTTACCCGATTACTGCATCTATTTAGTACAACAATAGGGGAAAACGATACCGATCTGTAAGAAAGTCTTAAATCTTGTTTTATGTTGTAAAGTTTCGAGATTCAGTATGAGAAAATGCTAATACCTTATAGCGCCCGGCAATTATTCACAGCTTAAACATCGGCAAGGCGTCAAAAACGCTGGCTGGCAGATCTTATCCATTAGAAAAGATACCATCGTTGTTTCACAGGTTCACCGAAAATCATGTTGGCAGAAGAAGCAGAGGAAGGCAACCACCTTCGAAAAAAAACCAAAAAAAGTGCGGAGGAGACATATTGGGTAAAGCCAAGAGACATCTAGCAGCAGACGCGATGCGCTGTTTTTGTTACGCTGAACTGCATAAGGCACGGCGCCTTCCTTGCGTTGAAGAGAGAAGAAGGGGGAGGAGATTCCACCGTTTTTTCAGTAGTGACCTGTTGCGAAGAAGCGGCTCGTTAGTCAGTTTAAAGTTGGGTATATAAGCGCCGACTTGACACTCCGAATGGCATCGTTTCATTGCGATTCGAACAATGTACCAGCAAAAGGACGAGAAGACGTTGATGCAAGAGGCTGAGGGCCTTCGTAAGATCGCCTTCTTCGGTATCTGCATCAGGTAAGCGTTCTGATAGTGACCTCAAAACCAAAAGTTACAAAATTTTTCAGTACCGTTGCCACTTTGACTGCCATCGTCGCCATCCCATCGCTGTACAACTACATGCAAACCGTCCAATCCACCCTGCAAACTGAGGTAATTGTGTTATGATCTCATTAGGATTCATTGCAAGATTTTTAGCCCCTAATTGGCTACATCCTCTGAACTTGACTATGTGACTTATGTATAGATAAAAAAGAATATTCGAAACGTTTTGAATTTCTATGGAACGATCTGGTTTCATTTTACCCAGGAAAATCTAATAATCAGCTTATTTCCTCTTCAAAAAATTATTCCAGGTCGACTTCTGCGTTCACCGCACCAACGGACTTTTCGAGCAATATGAGCGCATCAAGGGAGTCAAGAAACTCGTGAAGCGTCAAGCCGGATACGGAGCCCCAGCTGAGTACTCCACCGATGCCGCCGTCTCCGCCCCAGCCGCCGAAGCCGGAGGTCAATGCTGCTCATGCGGATCAGGACCAGCCGGACCACCAGGAACCCCAGGAGAGGACGGACGTGACGGAAACGACGGACAACCAGGACCAGACGGACAGCCAGGAGCCGATGCCCCAGCCGAGGCCATCCCAACCGCCGACGACTTCTGCTTCGACTGTCCAGCCGGACCACCAGGAGCACCAGGAAACGCCGGACCAAAGGGAGCGCCAGGAAACGCCGGAGCCAACGGAAACGATGGAGCCCCAGGACAAGACGGAGCACCAGGAAACGCGGACCACAAGGACCACCAGGACAAGACGGAGCCGCCGGACAACCAGGACAAGACGGACAGCCAGGAGTCGTCGAGGAGGTCGCCGTCCCACCAGGCCCACCAGGACCAGCCGGAGCTCCAGGAGCCCCAGGAACCGACGGACAGCCAGGAGCCGCTGGACAACCAGGACAAGACGGACCACAAGGACCAGCTGGAGATGCTGGATCCGATGGAGCCCCAGGACAGCCAGGAGCACCAGGAGAGCAAGGAGAGGCCGGACAGCCAGGAGAGGGAGGTGGCTGCGATCACTGCCCACCACCAAGAACCGCTCCAGGATATTAATTTTGGAAGAAGTTCTCTTGAATTGTTGTTTGTATGTATGTATGCGTTTTTTCAATTTATCTCAAATGAAATTGATTCATTTATATCTAGATTTTGGATGTTTTTCAAGCGATATTGTTCATCCTTCCGAACACCTTGAAAAAAAAACGTTACGCAATGTTCGCAAAATGCTAAGAACCCGTTCTTTTATTGCTTCCGCAATCATCTCGTTCACACTTTTTTGGGAGTCTGGGTGTCCGTTATGGATGGATATTCGTGGATATCAAACACCTAGGCTTTCATAAGACAGAAAAATTAATAAATGGAAAGTTTCAGAAGTGCAATCTCTCCTTCTCAATTTTCAGATCTTTAGAATTTCCGAAACTTAAACCTTCCTCTTCTGGAGAAATCGAAAGTAAAAAAAACTAAAAAAAGAAACCTTTATATTTTTCGTTTCACTTTTTCAAAACGCGAAAATTATAGGTTGCAGTCGGAGATCTGAGAAAACTAAAGTTGATGGAGGGATTCAGATGAGAATTGACACGTTTTTTGCTTTACGTTTTTTGAGATTTTTGAAGAGAAAAATGAAAGTCTAATGGTTTTTTTGTTCTAATATGATTATTTCTTTGGAGACCGATTTTGAAAATTAGACATCTTGAAATTCTGAAGTTGTTAGAGATCTGGAAATTTTGAAAAAATACAAAAAAAATTACAA